GCAGGAACACAGATAAGTGGAGCCGGTCGTCGAAGGACCAATGTCTCTCAGTCTCGCAAGTCCGCAACCAGTCCGACTTCTTTGTGCTCAGGTCCTGCTCAGGCGAAGCAGTGCTTCATGATCCGGAAGCGAGTCGAGCAGATCTGGACCGGCTCTCCAGGGCCCTCTGAAACGTTGATAGCTTCGACGAGATCTGCAGAAGACCCAATGCGGCAACATGATTGAAGCTGCTTCTGCCGGTCCTGCACGCCGCGACGTCTCCTGTGCCATTCCAGCTTGTGCACCTTCAAGCTGTGAGGGGCTGATAGAAAGGGGTCGTGCACTTGTTCAGTGCGAGGAATCTGCTGCTGCAATTTTCGCACGAGGTGGGGCCGTGGATCTTATTGCATGAAACATGTTCGAGCGAATGCAGTGAGAAGCTCAACAGCATTTGAAAGATCCTTTGCCGCGAGCTTGCCAGACAAGAATGTGTTTGATATCAGCTTCCGGTGCGTCCGCTAGAGGTGGAACAGGACTTGACCGACATCTCGATAGGGTCGAAGAGGCATGAAGTCCTGCATTTTGCTGCTGACGGAACGGCTGCTCAGCTTTACGATTGCCAATGCATGGCTTTAGTTCATGCGATCTTAAATGCGGCTCTGGCAGGCACAGAATGGGCCTCATCCTCAGTTTGGCGTTGCCCCTGCACCTGCCGCAATCCAGCGCTATCTTGGCGACGACTTTGTAGCATGTGGAAGATGTGCAGCTCTACCCGGAGTTGATGAGCTTAATGGTCATCGAGCATGCAGCGTCATGCAGCCCGTGCTTGTCTGGCGTGCCGAAACACACGACGCTCGAGATGTGTTGTTACGTGAGCTGCTGCAGCTTGTTCCAGTGGTAGATGCTCAGGCACGGTCCTCTCGCGGGCGCGTCTGGTCAGCCGAAGCCCAACTCCGCAGGGACCTAAGAATCCCAGAACTTACGACGGGGCCTGGAGGACAACACGAAAGGAGTCTGAAGAAGAGGTCCTGGGCTCGCAAGAGTCTATGTTATGTTGCTGTCTGGTGCTGGCTGCAGGGGCTTAGCCGCTCAGCCAAATCTCAGCCCACCTTCTGTTCTGTAGCCGATGCCTTGCTCTTGCTGCTGGCTCCGGGCGGCACCGCACTGAACAGGATTGGCCGACTAGCGAAGGCACCCCGAAGTGGGAGCTGCCATGGCCTCGGCAGTTGGGATCAAAGCAATTTAGCCTTCGTACCTGCCTACTTCCCTCTGTCGGTCTGTCTGTCCGAGGGCTCGCAAGCTCGAACGAGGATGTGATGAGCCCTGACCTTAGTTCTTCCAGCTGCCATCTTTGCGCCAGGGCTTGCCATACAGATCAAAATACCAAAACGCAGTGTGCGCCCATCAGGAGTGGATTGCTTCCCCAGCATTGCCGAGTCCGTCATCAGTGCGGGCACAACCTCCCCCAAGGACCTTCCCAGCAATTGTTTCAACACCTTCTACGGAAACACATTCATAGGTACGTCAGCATTCCGAATCATCTTAGGCATTGTTTCTATCTGAGACCATCCTTGTTCCTGCCAGACTCCGAAGCAACATCATACTTTCTCCGACGGAAGTGCCATCGCCCAGGCCTAGGGCATGTGAGAGCCGAGAGCAATGAGAGCTGCCGTGGGTTATAAATAAATAAATATATACCTATGGCCTATGTCCTATTTATATATGTATATATATATATATAAGTAAGTAAGTAAATACATAATTATATATATATATATATATATTGTATGAGTAACTCGTTCGATTACCCCATACATACATACATACATGCATGCATACATACATACATACATATACATGTGTGTGTACCTATGTATGTATACATATACATATTGAGTAGTGGGTTCTTGTAGACCACAGTTGTCTTGGCTGGGTAGCATGTCGCTCACAGCCACTTTCCAAGCAATAGCCTTTGTAAGCTGCCCGTGGGAATACCATGGAATTCGCACTGAGTCACAATTTACAACGGCCTCGAAGTGGGCATGCCTGGGGTACTTCAGCTATCGCGGTGAAATATGGGCATGACAAAACGGAGGCATGCTTGAGATGGAGGCCCTCTCCAACTTTGTCTTTGATAGCATACATCTGCAGATGCCACGCCTACTAGAGCCCAATAGTAACTTCATTGCAGGCCCTCGCCGCGTCGATGAAAGCCGTGAAGCTCTGCACAGGTTCTGGAGCGCCTGGACGGCCTGTCGCGCGATGTGCGATCTGAGCTGCGGCATATGAACTCAAGGACCGTTCCGGTTCTTGAGAACTCGACTCACCATCGTTGACCTAAGGCCTGTGGTTAAAGCTGTGCCCAAGCCCGGCAATGCTCATCTCTAGGTTGCTTGGGGCCGGTTGCACGAGCATGCCGACATGTTGCGCCTGCAGGATGACTAGCCTGGAGGCCCACCATGCCGCTTCAGAAGGCTTGCGCCTGCCAAAGCTTCTGGCAGGCGGCTTCCCAACACTTGGCAACACGATTGGAAGAGCTTGCAGGTCTTGCTGAGGACCGACACAATGTCCAAGTATACCATGCAGCCACATGGTTGAAAGGAGGGCCACACAGACAAAGATCCGAAGGAGGACTGTCCCCAACTCGGTCGATTGTTCCTCTACATACTGTAGCAGCTCTCGCCCAAAGCCTTGAAGCGGGTTCTACAAAGGACAGCGCGACATGACTGAACCGAGCTAACTGCCTTGCCCATTCCGCATGTTGCGCGAAGGTGTGACACCTCCAGATCTTGACAAATCCTGCGCATGTCAGTGCGATTCTCGGGTACGTGTTGGCTGTGCCTGCATCTGTGGTTGTGCATGTTCAGTGCTGTTTAGCAAAATCACAGATGTTGTGCTTCACGTGGGCAAAAATGTCTTGGGAGCGGCTAAGAGAAAGCACGCTCTCCTTGAAGACCCGCCTCCTGCGCTGAGGGTGGTCAGTCGAGTCTAGCCTAGCCAGTGCTGGAGCGACGTGAGTGCTGCTTTAGACTAGAGTCAGGTTTGGTCCATCCGAATTAAGGTGAATGAAGTCTAATTTAGTCCATTTCTGGGTTTGTGCATGCAGAGTTCATGAATTTCGCTGAATCCTGGTCACGCCGACGGCTTATGCGAGGAGGTTGTCAGCCACCAGAGCTGACCCTCCCTCTTTGAAGTCGAAATTGTCTACTGGCCGGCGCCTGTGCAGATAAAGTTCGCTTCTTCCGGCGACAAAGATAGTGCGCTGATGTTTAAATGGCGCCCTCCCTGCTTATCGCCAGCTGCCGGCTGTTGCCTCCCAACAGTTGTAGTCTTGCTTAAGGAGCTCAAAAACCAACGGGTTCTCCTAGCAGTCCTAGCAACTGTTGGGCGGCACTCCCCCAGAACACCGAGAGTGTACTCTTGGGGCGGTGCTCGGCTCTCAGCGCCTTCGAGCAGCTTTCCAGACCCCTCGGCTCCGACACAAGCGGTTCGTCTGCCCAGGCAGGGAGTCAGTCGAGGTGGCTTACCCTTCGGGCGTTAAGCCGTGAAGCGCGTCGGCAGCATCTCCCGGATGCTCCACATGCACAGAGCAAAGTTGCGAAAAGCAGCGCGACGAGTCGTTCAAGAGAATTGCCATTGCCAACCACTGCAGGCGTGCCCCTGTTTGTTGCTATTGACAGCTCTGTGTTTCGGTGTCGCTTCGCCTCGTGGGCCACTAGCTCTGCAACAGAGCCATGTACAGGTCTGACCGGCATTTGTGAAAGCTTCCACCCGGGCGCGTGAGCGTATGATGGTAGGGCCGGCAGAAGCCGAGGCCTCGACGAGAGTGATCAGACACTACTAGGTGATGGTACTGGCCATCAAAGGTTTCACGAAAGTGCCGGCCTTCTTTTTCTCAGAAGTTGCCTAGGCTGGAGGTGAAGGAACTGCCAACAAAGGCTCGTGAGTTCCGACAGCTCCTGTGCTGAAACGCTGCCAGATGCTTCAGGCATGGCCCACATGTGGCCGCTTGTCCCTGCTGGCACTCGGCCTGCAAAAGAGCAGATTGAACTGAGTGAATGTCAGTTCCTGTGGCGTGCCGGGCCGCTTGAAGGTGCTGGCAAGTCTCTGTAGCCCTTCATGAGGCTTAAAAGCTTTTGATGCTGCACTCGAAACCAGAGCCCCGCAAGGATGTCATATTTGCACAGTTGCAGAGAGGCAGAGAGGTTGTGACAGGCGTGCAGACCTGCTAAGACTCTTTTTTTGCGCTTTTACATACTATGTGTAGTGCTGGAGACATGGATGTCGGTTTCTGATATGTTGTTTCGTCATCATTCACCAGGTTCATCATGATACGACAGTGTACAGGCGAAGCTAGCGAACCCAGCTTTAGTCGACACGATGGCGGGTAGCTCTCGGCGGCCAAAGGAAGCCAAGAATGCACCGAAAGGAGAGCAAGGCCAAAGTTCCAGACACAGGGTGTCTGCATGCGTTCAGAGAGTGCAGTGCTTAGTTTGTTTGTATGTGTGTGTGCGTCTGTTTGCCTGGCTGTCTGTCTGCCTGTCTGTCGGTGTCCATGCTTTTCACATCGCTGCAGGCCCCGCCCTGTAGTGAACCACAATTCTTTGACGTGCGCAATACCAAGCCCTCCATGCGACTGACAGTTTGGGCTTAGTTTGTGCCAGGAAAACCCGCTACGGCTAGTTCGGAGCCTGCAGGATCCCGCCGCTGGCATCTCAGAAGCATTGGAACTTGACTAACTTGACCCTGCAAGCTCACGAGGCCCGCAGGTATATCAGTTATCAGGCACTTCCATTTGCAGAGATTCTGAGATGTTGGCTGATTGCCAATGAGATTTCGGCGCATGGCCTTGGGTCCGGCTGCAACTATTGACTCGCTGGCATACATTGCTACCACTCCTTTGTTACCTTTACATACATGGTGACAGGGCTAAACATTGTACATCAAGAGGCGCAAACCCGAATTTGGTTTCAAGCGTTACCAGTGTTCGCAAGCCACCCGTGCCGTGCGCTTTGCTGAGGATGTGGATAGCTTTGCTGGGGCTTCTGGTTGCAGTGGCCGTGCAGATGTTTCGAACTGGGCAGCCGACGGTGCAGCCGAAGGGTCGAAGCTGGGCAGACTTCGGTGGATCATTGGCAAGGTTTGGGCGAGTGATTCTGATTAGCAGCTGCTCCTAGCTGTGGTGACCCAGTCCAGGAAAGCAGACGGACTTCGAAGTTTGGGCAACTGCCAGAAGAAGACTTCCAGATGCTCTGCAGATGACGCTTACGCTGGCAACTCCGTAATGACGTCGCGAAGACCCAGTTCAGATTGAAGCACTCCCTACAGATCATTTTGAGCCTTAGTTACTGGACTGGAATTGTCTGTGGCGGAACCTACCAGCATCCAAGGAATGTGACGTGCTCGAAAACTCCGGGCGGAGACGGAACAGGAGGCCATGCCTGTCGTCCTCACGGTCGCTGCTTGTTTGTTTCTTTCGCATGCAGCCTGCATTGTGTCTTAAATCTTGATGGAGCCCGCTTCCTAGCCGTTCGTGCCGCTATTCCGAGATGAAGGAGCCCCTGCATGCCCGGACTCATCAGGCACCGGCCTTTGCGGAACTCCCCGTCGAGGCAATCGATGTGCTCGATTTGTGCTGGACGGAGCTATACCTGCAGCGGACGTGCAGGAGAGAGCCTGCTGCCGACCACTTCGGATTTTTTCAAATCATGTTTTTTCTGAAGCCGATGCCCGACGCGAGGGTCCGTGCTTGTGCCGTACATCTTGAGTCCTTACTGTAGGGTTGAAATTCGTAGTTTCGACAAAACGGCACTGGCAACCATCAGTGCGCAGTGCAGTGGGGGCAGGATCCACCTAGGAGGTGCTAGACTTTGCTACTGGCCTCAATGGAAAGCAGCAGCAGCAGCAGCAGC